TATGGAAGACTATTCTTCTTACTCTAAAATCCCAAAGTTTACCTGTCACCACTGGGAACCCGTTTTACTTGGTGCCTTACACTCAATCGGATCACTTTTGTGTACTGCCACTAATGCGACACCCCAGGAGAGAATGTTTCCTACAATAGGTCGACCACTGGGACTACTCTCCCCATGTGCCTTACCTCTTCTGGCAGAGTTCTGCTGAAGAAGAACAATCAACAGTCTAAGTTTGATCCACTCGTTGGGGAGGTGGAACTACTCCAATGTAACCCCCAATATGCTCATATACGATTCAATAACGACAGAGAAGAAACGGTATTTGTTCAACTACTTGCTCCAAGCGGTGAAAAAGATGTTGGTGATTGCCACCCGAAGACGGCCATGCCGATACCAGAAAATACCATCCCATTTTCCCCTGACCACCAACCCATTATCGAGCAAGAAAGTAGCACCGTTTTAACTGAAAAACAGAGTGATGCAACACCTGTTAGTGTACCTAACGCTGACGATGCCTGCATACATTGCCTAAAAACATTTATCCAACAACAACAACGTGTTCATCAATACTGCCTTCGTAACAGAGACGCCTGAACTTTGCCCCATGCTAACTTTCCTTCCGATTTTTGACATCTCGATTCCTCAATTTGTTGGCCGGGGTAAATGTCATGCTAACATAAACCCCTGGCTGAATTCCATCTTATCTACTACTTTTCTATTTCTCGCTTTAGTCCGAGTAGGTCAATTGTAAGATGAATAAAGCCCTGTTTTAGGGTATTCTGGTTCTGGCTCTTGCATACGTATCTGTTGGTCCTCTTCATATAGTGTGCTTGCTATGGTCCCAGCTACAACACGGAGAAATTCATGTTCAAGTAGAAAATCGGCGCATAAGTCTAGCAAGACCGATTGATTGATGCCCTCGCATATTGTACCTTTAGATTTAATATAGACAAGAGCATGTCCTTGCGTGGCGCTGGTCATGGTTGTGGTAACCATGGGTATTTTAGTGCGAAAGTTATGAACCTTTCACCTATTTCGGAGCACCACTGAAGAAGAAATGTAACTTTCAGAATTACCTGTGTCAATAAGCGCCTGGAAAGTAGTCCTATTTATCTGCAGTTTAATTACTGCGCTTAAAGGACAGTCAGGAACAGCTGCTGATGCTACGGTGGGAATGGCAGGGTGCATGACGGAAAAAAACGGTTTTTCGGTTTTGTGATGCTTGGCACACCTTTTGGGAGTGCCATTTTTATCGAAACCTATGCATAACGCATAGCGTGCGAGACACCTCGAACGGTGGTGCTTGTCGTATCCACAAAAAAAAAACATTTGCTAAGGACTGAAGTAAAAGCCATGAGGTCAAGCTCTTTAACGGGACTCGACGACGTCCCACATGGCTTAGTAGCGACAGAGAATGAGGTCGTCGGAGGGTTTTGATACGATAGACTGCCTTTATGCCAATTCCAGTGACCTTTCCTGATCGAAGGCAGTTTGGAAATTCAAAACCTTCTGTCCCGATAACCCCTGCCGAATCTGGTTTGACAAAAAGTCACTGATGAACGCATGTCCGATGGCATCGTCGCGATTTTGTTCTGTTGCAACGGCTTTAAAATCGCAGTCCTTAGACAAGGTCTTTAGCTTCTGAGGAATCTGTTGGAGGGTTTGTCTGCCTTCTTGTCTGCAGGTTGTCAAAAGATGGCGGGCGAAAATTTAGTTCTTGGGTCTTAAGTAGAGATCTCATGGCCATTTAACAGCTTCTTCATAACTGAAGCATTCATTAATGCATTCCAAGACTGTCGGGGAAACGTAGTTAGTCAGAACGCTTAACTTATCCCGTTTTAGGCTATCGATCGTGGACGAGAAACCTTAAAACGTGTGAAACCAATGATTTCACTGTTTAGAAGCGTCTTGAGAAGTTGGATCAACATCGAATCGTTCTGACTTCAGGGATCCATCCAGTCTGGAGTTTTAAGATGAATAAATTGATTTAGCTAGTACCGTAGCGAGCACAAGAGAGGGGGAGCACGCAAAAACTCGGGAAGCAAGAATCGGAAAGAGAATACCCTATAATAGGGCTTTATTCATCTTATAATTGACGTACCGGGACTAAAATGAGAAACAGAACAGTACTAGATAAGATGGAATCTCGCCAGGGCATAAGTTAGCATGACACAGCCTCCGTTGTCTCTGTCAGAACCCCACTAACTGAATGCGCCACTAGTCGTCGTGAGAATGCCTACGAGGACTCCAGATTGAACCCCAAGCACAGACGGACATGCATGTCCCATAATCCGACCGGTGGCGGCACCGTATCAAGGCTAAAAGTAGGAATATGCTGTGAGGTCGAACAGGGATCGTTACGAACGTGCTGGCCTCCAGGCGCGCATACTTTTCGTAGACAGTTGGGGTGAAGCAAGGACTGTGGCAGGGGCAGCCCTGCAGGGGCATTAACCTTGATTAGTTCGTTACCAAGGAAAGGGAAACCGACGGACTTTTGTGATGTTGCAAATGCTACCAGTTTGCTTGGCCCCTCGATTATTTTACTGCGCATAAATCAGCCACGGTATCATCCAGCAGATAAGCTTGTACGGATGCTAGCTAGAATTACAATTTCATGGCCCAGCACTTCAAACTTGCCGATCGGAACACCTACTTCAAATTCTTCACTTTCAATTAGTTCGCAGATACGACGAGATACGATACGAGGACGGTGGCGGATGGGAAAAGACGCCAAACGAGAATACGGTTATCCAGATTGGATTAATTTTTTGTACATAATTAAGGAATCCAAATGCATCCTCTTATCTGCGTAAAGTCAATTCTTACTTCACTGGTTCATATTTCTTCGCTAAATACTGTGCTATTTTATGGTGGAGGGTTTTGCATGCCTGGAATCAAAGTAACAGAAGGACCTCTTCATGAATTTCAGACAGGCCTGATGATCAAGGAATAGGCATGCTGATCGACTCCACTTGACCAAAATTGCGTTAAGCGATCTCACACCTTTAAAACAGTGTTTCAATTCGTTTCATGCCTGAATATTAATAGAGCCGGCTGGCTCCTAGTGGATACCGGCCTTTCGGAACATCATTTACGGAATCCTTATAATCTCTGATCACATCTGTAGGATTTCGGACTGATTCATTGCCCCCTCCTAAATAACACATCTTCGCACTTCCAAAACTGTGCCGTTGTGCATGGCTTACTCCGTCTGTTCTGTTGCGCTCCTCTATGAAAGTTAGGACATGTATCACGTATATCTTCTCGTCCGCAGTCCTACGAACTTCTGCCACTGGCGCTCAATATAACCATTGCTGCTAAGCATTAAAGATGAAAAGTAGCGCATAAATCGATCTCAGTCGTTCAAAAAAGTCATTCAAACTTTCCTCCACCGCAGAATAAAAATAAATGGGGCAGTCTTTTCCTTTCGGCGAAGGCCCGGATGTTTTCAGATTTTGTTTTCTAGTCCCCGAAAAGACACGCCATTTCTGCCTACTTTTGATATGCGCTGCTCCAGAACCTTTTGCTCTGTACATAAACGCACTTTGGTAGCTTTCTGGTCGCTTTAGTTTCCATCGCAATCGTGGGTTAGTACTTTCGAGGAGACTTCCAATAATGGATTGAACATGAGTTTTTGGTATTTTTCAGAAGACTTTTTGCCTAATAATTCCACAATGTTAGGGACCACAGAATGCAATGGGACAGTCGAGATTCCAAAGAGAGCAGGAAGAAGGCATCCATCCTACGGCTACGGGCTGAGAACGCGAGGAGTTATAAGTTGTCCTAGAAGGCAAATGTGTGCGCAGAACAGCCTGGTCCTATTACCATAAGGCAGGGAAGTCTGGGACAAATTTACGAACTACTCCATGATCCTATGTTTCGCATTCCTTTCAGACGACCGCCATAATTAAAAGCGCAGATCCAACTTGGCAGCCTGTGGGGCTGAAATCTGGACTTGCAGTCCAGTTTCGCCACAATGAGATGCCCCAAAACACAGATTTAGGGCGTTTAATTAGACGACACGCATCGCGTAGAGCGAGTAACTTCCCGAAGCGGGATTAAAATGGCCTAGAGAAAATGCACAACATGGATGTCGGGATGGGCGAGAGTTCATGCCGGGGCAGCATAAATACAGCCAAAGGCGTCTACGAGAGTAAATGACGCAACACACCCCAATGTTGACTGCCAGTCGAGAGCCAAACAAAAAATCTTGCAAGGCATTAAAGCAAAAACGCCCAGCCCGGGAAACTACAGGCCACCTACCGAGAGTCCGAAATTTCAAACTGCGCGCTACCACTGAAGTTCAAGTTTTCAGTGCTTTCAAAGCTTTTCAACGGACAGTGTCCCTGGTTCATAGGTAAGAGACAGAAACGTTCAGCAGAGTTTAAATTGACATATAAGACCGCAATACAAATCTCTTTATAAACGAGGCGCTTTTCTGGAAGTCACTACGAGTATAAACTGCGGTCCGAGCACATCAATGCCTCAATGCGCTTAGAGACTTCTACCTTATTTTTCAACTCTTGCAGGCTTCTCACTTCTGTTGCATATTCTTCTATCTGGCCTTAATTAACCAACCCACAGGAAAGTTGCACGCTTCCTTTTTACACGGTAGAACAGCATCCTCCTTGTGATTATCTATGCTTGCTCTCGCCTATCCTCATTTTCCCGTGACAAATTAAGCAACAGAAGCAGATGTCACTTTGAGTGTCTTTGTTTGCAGAGGCTATTGGCTGCGGCTGTCTAGGATCGTTTCCGGCAATGGTAGCATCCCGTATCAGAATATATGCAGCTTTTCCTACCAGCTTGTCAGTTCATCCGAGTCGACCTTTTTGTGCCTACTCGTGCAAATAACTATGTCCGAATAAAACGCTCGTTCACCGCTTCAATAGGTGAATCAAAAGCATGGGGCGGTGATTCTTTGAATGCAGTTTTCCCTCTCTCTGATTCTTGTTAAAAGCTTACTGAACTATGTCTTTTTTTCTTTAGTCGATATTATCCTACAACGACATTTCAATAAGGTCAAGCAATTCGCTGGTCGGATTATAGATGAAGTTGCCCATCCTTTGCATTCTGACGTTATTTCTGCAAAGTCTTCCCGCCCGATGCGATGCAGTTTCCAACTTATGTCTTTTCTCACATCGGCTTTTTGAGCGTCTGTATTGCCATTCCTGGTACGCTATCTTGCGTGTGAGGAGATAGAATTGCATCGGGGCCTGGTACTTTCCCGCTGGGGAGTTTTTGCTCAGCTTGAATGGTTTCTCGGGAGGGAAGTGGTAGATCCAGGTCGACGTTGAGTACCACTTAGGGGTACCAGTCGTTGGCGGCCTCGCACTTATGGAGGTGCGGTTAAGGATGTTTCTGAAGTGCTCGGATTCATTGTTTGCATCGGTTGGGCGGCCGAAATAGACTCCGTGGAGTCTGTTCTTCTCGGCTAGCTGGCTGCTGGTGGCTGCGCCGCCGTAGTCGTTGTTGTTGTCGTCGTCGTTAAGCCAGTCCTGGTGTTGGCCACGTGTGCGACCCATGATAGCCAGGGCGGTTAAGTGAACGGCGCACCGTAATCGGCGCCATCGGGTCTCCATGGAGGCGTTTTCATCTGCTACTGGCATGTCTTCCAGACGCTGGGTCAGTTGATCGCTAAAATGCAAACGGTGAGCCGACTGAAACAAATAGTAGTTTCCAACTTGCGTGGATTCGCTTACGTTGAGGCCTCCTGCGGGCTTACAGATGCAACTTCACCTTGGAGATGACGAAGCGGTTGCCCGTCGAGCCATCGGCATTGCAGATGGCCTTGGTCACAGGCTTGTCCTGTACATCTGTACAACAAACGCAGACAAAATCCAGCTACTGCCAGCGTCGCGATCGGGAATGCACCCAGGATGCCTTTTTCTGTTTCAGCCGGTTGAAGAGGGTGTTGGTCACCAGGAGGCGTTGTTCAGTGCAAGTTCGCAAGAGTAGACGGCTATTGTCTTCGCAGCCAACGGTTCCGTGATGGCTAACATTCCTCTCCAGCCAGCGAAGTCTGTCTTGACGAGGACATTAAGGTTACCAGAATCTTCGTAGAACTTGACCATCGCCTCGACAGGACTGGCCTCTGGTTGGGTGTGGATGCTGATGATAGTAGTGAAATTGGGACCCCGGAGGGGCAGAGGCGGGCTCATCAAGCGATGGCTGTTGCCCTGTGGCAGACAGGGAAGTCGTACCACGATGTCATTCCGGAAGGCGAAGGCGAAGCCCGCTTCCCGTCGATCTGTCTTGGGGCGATCGCTCCAGAGGAAAGTGTATCCCACACTCACATCCTCCAGTCGGCCTTGTTCTGGGAACCGGGCTTCGCTGAGTGCAGCGGTGTCAACCTTACAGCGCGCCAATTCCCGAGCGACTTGTGCCGTTCTCCGTTCCGGTCGGTTGCTCTTCGGATTGGCTGAAGGGGAACAAACATTCCAGTATGCCAGCGTGAATGTTATCACCCTAACGGACTGTGAGTTGGCGCAGAGGGGAGGAGGAGGAGGAAGAGAGAGTATGTTTCTGTTTTAAAGGTTTTGACTGCAGGCATTCCAGTTTGCGCGCAGATGTCGGGATCCCAGCATTGCTAAGGGCATCTTTTCCGGCCCAACCCCCTTACAACGGTAAGCAATGCTCTCCCCAAATCGGACTGATCGGTCGCAACAGACGACTGCCGCTGTCCATATGGTCACTAGATAAAGTGAGAGAACGACCCTTTGGCTTGGGCCGCCTATGTGATTGCATGTCGCCTTCGACGTAGGACATTCCGGCAGTGGGGAAAAGTAGTGGAGTAGAAGGAAGAAAGGGAGAGTTGGGTGCTAGTTAATGGACGTTAGGCGTAGTAAGTAAGTGACCTACTAATACCATCACGTGGACCCACAGATGAACACTACTGCGCCCCTAGTCCGCATATGAATCAGCAATGTCAGTTTCCCCATCCTCCAGGGAGTTTACAAAGCTCAGTGCGCAGGTTGCCAGAATCACTTTAAAACTGATCGTTTTTTCGGTCAAAACAGTGGCTTGCGAACTTCCTGCGTACACCTAGCCTTTTTCACATACGCTTCCATCGGCGGACTGCCGGCATGTCGTAATAATACAGTAGATGTGCTAACTCATGAAATGTTAACCAAAGTTTCGAAATGCGTTCTCGTTTCGAAAGGATAAATTACGTAGTGTTGTAAAACGAATCATCGTGCAGCATAAATCTATAATTATCCAGTTACCTAAGGGTGTCGGCTTTCGAAAGAACTTATTTTCGGCTGCATGCAAGATCTATACTCTGCAAAAAATGACTACTTAAGTAGCATGCAATTTTCTCATTAACTTCCGATGCCCTTGAAAATTCAATTATATTTCATGGAAAACATGCATATAAGTATTCATTCTTTTAATTTTCGGTAGAAAATCACGTCTTCTTCCAATTTTATACTCAAAAGAAGAGTATTATTCGGTTTTAAAAAAGTTTCTAATTGTGAGATTTTTTAATACCGTCAAATGGCCGTTTATAAAACGTCATGTATTTGCATTTACGAATGTGGCTTGTAAAGTTAACAATGTTGCTCAAATCCACTGCTTAATTTGATGAATGTCATATGGTCTCCTCTTAACAACGTAGAGAAATGCATGCAATATTGTTAACTTTACAAGCCACATTCGTACATGCAAATACAGGACGTTTTCTGAACGGCCATTTAACGGTATTAAAAAATCTCACAATTAGAAACTTTTTTAAATCGAATTATACTCTTCTTTTGAGTGTGCAATTGGAAGAAGACGTGATTTTCTAAGGAAAAAGTAAAAGAATGAATATTTATATGCATGTTTCCCATGAAATATAATTGAATTTTCAAGGGCATCGAAAGTCAATGAGAAAATTGCATGCTACTTAAGTAGTCATTTTTTGCAGAGTATAGATCTTGCATGCAGCCGAAAATAAGTTATTTCGAAAGCCGACACCCTGAGGTAACTGAATCATTATAGATTTATGCTGCATCATGATACGTTTTACAACACTGCTTAATTTATCTTTTCGAAACGAGAATGCATTTCTAAATTTTGGTTGACATTTCATGAGTTAGCACATATACTGTATATGAATTTCAGTTATAAGACCTGTCGTGGAGTTTGATTTCATACTTTCAGGCTGGTATCAGGAAGCCCATCGGCCAAAAGCTCAATTCGGCCGACCTGCCTTGCAGCTATTGAGCAGGTAATGATTTTTTGGTGTGCGACACCAAAACTCGTAGGCCTTCCCTGTTTGACAATGATGTTCTTATCATTGTCACGCCTTCGGCAACTACTGACCGTTGCCGCCCTACCTCCAACTCGTTCCTGCAGGTTGTCGACGTCTCTCCCATAACTATACTTGGCTTCTGCTTCTCCTTCGCAATCCTGGCACTAAGCGTTACCTTTCCTAGATATTTGTGGTAAGGAAGGTTATGGCCACAACCCCTGGTGCTGATTTATTCGCCCTAATCGATTGTCTGATTGGTTTCTAACGACGTACTCCAGTAGCTAAGCATCACAGAGCCTGTCAAGAGTTTTGTCTATCCCAAACTTCCCATCAACTGTCCATTCGGAACGTGTACCTTGACTGTCATTTTTGGAAAAGTATTATTGTGTATCTTGACCTCATAACTGGTTACTTCCCTGACTTTACCTTTCCTTATGACAATGCCCATAATATAAAACCAATCTTTTCTTCGTCTTTTCTTCCCCCCAATGTCTTACCGCCTGTCTGTCTTGCTTTATCATTTCCCGAAGTGATTTCTCCGCCTTCGTCCTAGTGCAGCGCCTAGTCAGATCCGCCGATGTAGAGGATGCTGTTAGTTAAAACTCACAGACCTCCCGTCCACAGCGATGTTATGACTATTCTCCATCATTTCCCGGTGTTCCAGCCCTCCACGTTTTTTCAGTAACATTCCCCCTCTTAGGCCCGAGCGAGAAACAGGCTGATTGCCGACCAATTTCTTTGTCTTGGCATGATCGATGACGTTAGTGCTTGAACGCGGACATATTTGATATTAACAGAAGAAGGTTAAGTGTCACTCGGCACCATGTGCCGCCTCGCCCAGTCAAAGTGTTATGTTTAACTATGCGACTTTTAGAATGCAGGTTTCTTGCTTCCCTCTTGATTCTATTGGATACCGGTCAGTTCTTATACCAAACTCTATGTTTTCTGTCAATGGAATGAAATTTAAGTTCAGTATGAAGCCTGATGAAAGGTCGTCCCCATCTCCACAGGCGTCAACGAGGATCCTACTAACTTTCTGAACCGTCCACCCTGTTTACGTGAATTCCCTCCCTGTTTTGAATTCTGTCCTCTGTCTCCAAGTCCTAGCATGATAAGGGTTTACGACTTGCATTCACTCCTCTCCTAGACTTCCGCGGACACTGACCCCTGGGGAGTTTCACCATAGTCAATTCGTATTATTGGCTCGCGAGGAGAATGTCTTCCCTATTCAGCGCAGAACTTGCAATAAGACCATGAATGCAGGCCGCATCGGGGTTGTGATATTGGACATAGCTTAGAATGTCTACCATGCTCAACTTCCCCTTCTCCTCCAGTTCCCTATTCCTTCCATTTAAATTTCCCTATGTCCACTTACTCGCTTATTCTTCCCATGCTCACTGCACTCATTGAATACATTTCCAGCTTTAATGATCGAATAGTGATCCACTGTTCCATCTTAGGCGTATACTTCGACGTTCTCGACTTGAGGGGTCACTGCGTCGACTTAGACTTTGTGGATATGGTGGACTGTTTTGTCAAATCATTCGTAAATTACATGCAATGTTTTTATAAAGTTGTTTGTTATTTTTATGGAACAGATTCTGTTTGCCTGTAAATGTCCTTTCCACCTTGATAACAGTTCAAGCAATTAAACCTAGCCTCAAGTTGCGAACATTTTTCTGGACAGGTAGTTTGGTAGGGCTTATGATGACATATCTAAGACCCAGAAAAAATCCAGAATGGACAAATATGCTTATCTCAAGTAATCGTAAGAGACTACTACTCTTCATTGTCATAATTTCACTCATGAATCCGAAAACTGTTAAACGTCAGGTTGCTTGAAATGGAAGCATATGGATTACCCATAGCTCACAGAGTTAAAAATATAAAGTTGCCACTCTGACAGAATTCGTAGGGATGAAAAAATACAGACAAACCAGCAAGAGATCAATAGATATTTTGAAACAGGGTTAGTGGCATATCCGAAAGCCCTGAGACCTGCGAACCAGCTCTTAAACAACAAGAAATTCTGAGTTGGAAAACGGAAAATAGTGATTTGTGGATAGAAAAGGTCGGTAGAACGAAAACGAATGTAGAACAGCGACACTAACAACATCAAGCGGGTGGACTTTCATTATTAAAAGCGACACTACAAAAAAGATGTAGGCAGAACGGACAGCGATTCTGTTATGACAGAGGGTTTCGTTAGGCAAAAAATACAATAGTTGAGTATCAGCAACCTATTTGTCAGGATATGACACGGTAAGTCTCTTTATTTTCTACAAGAAATTAAGACGCTTCTTAAAATATCTGCTCGTAGGGAATAGGAAGACGTTTCTGATAATTCGTTGTGAGGAATGATGACACACCACAAAACACCCATCCATGAAGCTTGTGAAATCGCCGGAGGGCAGCATAGTTTTTGGACAACCTTAAGGATTAGGCGTAAGGTTATGTTGGAAAAAACCAAGCAAACCCCGCATAGTTGACTCGAATGAATATTTAATTTGTTCCTACAATGCTTGATGGATATTACCCCTATGTTGGGCTGGGAGTTGGAGCACAGTCGGCTTTTCCTCTGACCTAGATTACTACTGCAACAGAATAACCCAATGACTTACTTCCTAGTCATTGCTAAAACAGAACTTTCACGCATGAATTATTCAAAGCACGCCGACAAGTAGTATTCGAGTTGTGACCAGACAAAGGTAGTTCACTTCACTTGACTGGATATGAGGGGGGATAAGCGCATGCCGGCAAATAACCTCTTTGCCACATACAGTGCCCCTACAAAGGGCCATGGGGGGATTCACTAGACAAACAAAAGGCCAGATGAGGGCAGGACACACGTTAATCGGGCTGCGGGAAGTGCTCGTATCGCACAAAAAATGCCATTCATGGGGGTGTGGTAGCACACCTAGGTGCCGAATAACGCCTCGCCATCCGCGTGCGCCCAATACCCGCACCGGATAGCTGACCAACTCCAAGGGTAAACTGGTGCCAGAAGAGGGAGGAGAAAATGAGGTCGACTCTGGCGACTCCAGCCACACGGTACTTTAGTGTTTTTTCCTTTTAAGCAGGATGTGCTAAAAGTCGTGGCTTGGAAGGCTGTCAGCTGACGGATAGGTCGGTCATCTCAAGGCGAAGAGTTCAGCTGCAATGGCTCTTTCGTAATGTGGCCCCTATGTCATTTGCACTTAGATGGGATCGGAGCCATCCCCTTTCGTGCTTCCGTTAAAATCTGGTCCACCATAACCGTTTCCGCACCAGTCATGCTGACTCTGCCTGGCCACCGGGTCCGTGTAGGTGAGGGAGGTGGGAGTGCGGCAGATGTTGTAGAATTCTACTGCCACTACTAACTAGTTCAGGCACAAGCCTCCGTCCTGCGCTCCTCATGTTGTGGGAAACACGGTGGTCATCGTTCGCGACAATCGAACTTACGTCACATACAAATCGGACGTAGTGATAACAATATGGACGAAACACAGTGATCACTGGATGCAGACATACCTTCTAGTAAGTAGGAATATGCAAAGTTTACTCTGTACATTAAGAAGGATTCATGGAGCCTGATTTTCAGTCCCCGAGCCAGTCGCCACGCATGCATAACAGTAAAGAGGAATAACCACATCCGGCGAGATCCGGTCACGCATTAACATCCGACAAAGTCTAGATTCTCGCTAGAGGTGACAGTTGCATGAGTTCAAAACTGTATCCTTAAAAGTGTTCCGCTGCACTTTTTATTCCTCGAATATCGCCTATCCATCGTTCCTGCAAAACATCTCCCAAAACCTCCCCTTCTGTTTTATCAGTATTTTTAGGAGTTATATTAGCCATTGTGGTCGGTTGGTTTGCCGTGCCTCTAAAAAGGGACAGTGACATTTCACGAGGTTATGTGTTCTTTAAATAAACTAGTCCTCGCTTGTGTTCGCAGAGCAGAAACCACCTTCGTCTATAAACGATGCTTCCGTTACCATTAAGCGAATGTTTCCTCGCCAGGTGTTTTTCTCATTTCGCTTACCGCACATGGTGCTCCCTATCGAGTCCCCCATTTAATTAACATCTAAACATCTTAATCGGGTGGAAATGTGCAGTATATCTCATCGATACTGTCAAGATCCTTTGTGCAGACGATATCCAAAGCACATCTGAATGCGGTCTTCCCCGACAAACAATTTACGATGGAGGAGGAAGAAAAAAACCAGCTGACCTTCCTGAAAGTCCTCGTATGCCGCAAAGATTGTGGTGCACTAAAGACCAAAGTGTTCAGGAAAGCGACAAATACGATGCAAATACTGAACTTCAACAGCAATCACCCAATCAGCCACAAACGCAGTTGTGTAAGGACGCTCTATCGGCGTGTCAAAACGCACTGCAGTGAGCTGGAAGACAAGATTGCCGAACTACAATAACTTCGACGGGTCTTCAAGGCCAATGGTTATCCGCGCAACTTCGTCAACCGGTGCATACGCAAAAGGGACGAAAGGCCTGACCGCACGAACCCAAACTTTGGCGAGCGTTTCCGTATATCAACAACGTTTCGGAAGCTGTCGGCCACCTTATCGCACCACTTGGCGTTGTAGTTGCACACGGACCGGGGGCAATCATCAGGCGTCAGGTAATGAAACCGAAAGACCCGCTGCCACGGCAAGAAACGTTGGGAGTCGTTTATCGGATCTGGTGTAGTTGCGGACAAAGCAACTACGTCGGAAAAACCGACTTGACACAGACGTGGCGAGAGCTTGAGGCCAATCAAGGCTGCCTCCTTTGCTGATTGGCTAAAGGCGGACAAAGCTCTGGCGCACGAAAGAGCTTCGAGTTGAGTCTGCGCCCTCAGCTGTCCTCGGCCGGCTAAACAGAATATTCACTGATTCTCCTGAGCTGCGCGTTCGTTCCCTTACTGCAGTAGCGTTTGTCCAGTAATTTTGCCTTCCCTGACTTGGGATTTCACAATCTCCGAGTTGTCGGACATGACACTCCGACAGAAGAGTTCTGACACCAAGTGACTGCAACAGTTGTCTTCACTTGAGAACAAAAAGTAATACATGAATTCTTTTTGCATGATGTATGCCTTCAGTTCATAGCCAGATGACAGCGATGTTTTGGAAGTGATTAACACCTGGCTGCCAGCAGTGAGCAGGATGAGGCGAAAAGCATGTTGGATAAAGTGTTTTGTGATGACTAAGGGTTAGAATGTCGATGAATGGCATCAGTCAGGGCTCCATAATCAATCTAGGGAGTTTCTGGGGGTTAATAAGGACAACGGACTTCAGAGCCATCGCCATGCCGTCCGTCTTTTCTGCTGATTTCTATTTCATCAACCGAGACCGTTTTTACGAATCTTACTGGATAAAAACCGACTTGGTCTTTTGGTGATGTTAGCTGTTGAACTAACCAAAGGTGAGATGGAAAAATTGCGATTCGGACCATTTTACAGGCGGCAGGATGCTCTCTTACATAATTGAAGGTACCTGTACTATTTGTCTTTTTTATGGCTTTCGCTGGACTTCTTCCATCAGTCAGTTTTGCATGTTAACATCGAGACTCGGGAGGCCGTCAGTTTGAGCTTTTTTGCTCGTAAAGTGCTTTCATGCATAAATAGGGTTCGGGATTTGATAGATATATTGGATTTCGGTCCTGTTTACAACGATTATTGCTTGATTCATTAAGCGCCATTGAGACACCTGTGGCGCGACATAGAGAAACCAGGATTTAGCTTTGAGTCCCTAGGAAACTTTTCTTCCGAGCTCTGGAATGCGTGTTCAGTTAGATGTCCATTTGCATTCATTGAGATTTTCATGCCCAAATTTTTCGAGCTTGCAGCGGTTCTATCACGTGTTGTTTCGTGATGCGGTGAAATCGACCTGCATTCAGTTTTAAACTTACGTAGTTTTGAATAAAATAAGACGATATTGTCAGACGAACGGTGGAATTTGTCGTTATCTGCCTTTCTCACTGGCACACTACTCACGGCCTCATGCCGGATGAAAACCATTATTACCTGTTGTTCTTCGTTCTCACATTCACAACGGTGTAAATTCACCTACCCCTAATTCCCCAAAGAGCGAGCCGGACTCCTAGTAATCT